ATTTAAAAAAACCGTCATACTCAAATTCCAAACATCCTTTATAAGGAGCTCTTTCTCAAAAAAAAAACAAAAACAAAAACAAAAACAACCTTAAAGTCTAAATTTTACACTACTCCACCTTCACCCCCATCTCCTTTCTCTCCCCCAGATATTAGCTCCTCTTTATCAACGCCCTCGTCCAGCAGGGTTTGAGCGATATCTTCCTCCCCTGGTCTTAGGAGCCTAATGTCAATCTCTAGGAAGATCTCTGCGACCTTCCGTTGGCAACTCACCTATTCACTATCCCAGTACTGGCTCATTTCATGCTTATAATAGCTTGATTGCTAGAAGTTCTGGATTATTTCCCCTTTGGTCTGCCCCTCTACTAGCTCGGTAGCTGCCATACTCAAAGGTCTTGCCCCACCTTCCCCTTCTCTTACTAAACCCCTCGCTACTGCTGCGTCCACTGTCATTTGGAACTCAGATGATAGCTTAAACTCTTCCACCGCAGCAACACACAGATATGGATAGACAGCTCCCTCCGACGTCATTATCTTGGTCAGCTCTGCATTTTTGGCCCTTTCCTAAGCTAATGCCTTCGTCAACTCTGCCACCCGTGCCTCCGTCTCTTCTTTGTCCCCCAGAGACGATTCATGTAGCTCTTCATTGTTGACTAGGGCTTCTTCCAATATTTCCTTTGCGGTCTCACACGCCAACCTTTCCTCTGCCACTGTGCTTTAGCCTCATCCAACTCACCTTTGGCGTGCTTGGCCACGAAGCCCTGTACCACTGCCAACACCTTCATTTTCTTGACCTTTTGTACATGCTTCAACCCTTGGTAACACGCATTTCATGCCGCTGAGCGCCAACGTGCACGCTCCACGTTCGCTTTTCCCAGCTCTGCCTGGGCTTTTTCCAGCTACGCTTTTAGTGGGGCCATCTCTATCTTTGCCTCCACACTTTTCCCCACCAACGCTGCTGTTAGGGTTAGCGATTCTATTTGGGCTGAGCAGAATGCCCTCATTAGGTCACCATCGCCAAAGCTGGACACATCCCTAATTGTTGCATCATTTATCGCTCCCAACAAGCGCTCTGCTGCCACCCGCGCATTACTTAGCACATTGGCAGACTCTTCCCCAGTTAGCGAGAGACCAACTATTACTTCTAGATGGCGCGCAACCGTCCCCCTGGCGCCCACCGCTATGCCTGTTGGGGCAGGTCTCGCCTCACCCACATTTCCCTCTGCCAGGTCCTTCTTCTCCCTTCTTTCTTTTAGTATTAGCCCATCGCCACTCTGCTTCTCCACTCGCCCCTCTTTCGTCTTCCCTAACTCCACTATCTCCACGATTGGGGGCTCGCCCCCTTCCTCAACAACCATCCCTGGCCTGGGTCCCACCTACACTTCGTCGTTTGCTATTACCCCTTTTGTTTTCTTTTGAGCCGTCTCTCTCTTTTTCCCTTCCGTTGCCCATCTTTTTCTCTTCTCCAAAACACTTTCTACCTCTACCTTACTCCTCTCCTTCAAAGGGTCCACTGGCGCTTTTAGCGGCACAAACGTGCTCAAGTCCTTCCTTTCTAGTAGTTTGAACCTTGGACAAGCCTCCAACCTCACACTCACCTTCGGCACTCCCCATCTTCCTTCTCCTTGTATTTTTTTGCCGCCGCCATGGTTTGCTTATCTTCAACCTCTTGGGCTTTCCTCCTAACCTCAAGTTCTTTGACTGAAGGGTCGCCTTGCGTAGGTTCAGGCCCTAAACCAAAAGCAAACAATGCCAACAGTTTCACCAGGTCGTTCCATTTACACTCTTCCTTATCTTTTCATGCCCTCACCTGTTTCACTCTGTCCTCCACCACTGTGTCTAATTTTGGTTCATACGACTTCATGAGGACTTTCCACATCATCCGCACCCCTTTTTCACCATTCTTCGACACGAAGAACCACTTTGATTGCCAACACTTCACAGACGAAAGTAATCCGGCGACCAACCATCTCCCTGTCATTGCTTGTAACGTCACCCAGGTCTCCTGTCGGCCTGACGCTTTGTAATAGGAAAAAAACTCCTCCACCATCACCGCTTTCCCGTTGGTCTCCTGTGGCCAGGAAATCGCGTACACTAACAGGATTTTCCATGCGTTCGACATCAACTGACCAGGTGCCACCTCTAACCGATTTAGCACCTCCACCACGATTTTCAGAATGGGCAGTCTCAAACCCCTTCGGAGCACCTCTTCATAAAGCGTGAACTCCATGGGCCTCACGTCTGATGCCCTCTCTTTTGCCGACGGCAATCTCAATTCCACCTGCGCCAAAATATGATATTCCACTCACAACTCTTTCAAGTCTTCCATCGTCAACATTGATTTATCTACTTTGGCGTGTCAGTGGTCGGGGGCCATCTGGCTTATAGGTTATGCAGCTAATATCACCGTTGTTGATGAGGGTCGTGATGGTCTCTTCTCTCATTTTCTCCCAATCTCCCCACCTTGTATTCCTCTGCTAGGGCAATACCATCATCATCCCTTAGCGTGTCTGGCATTAGTATAGGGGCCCTTTCTTTCGCCATTTCACGCACGTTTCTGTAAATCGCTTTGGTTGCGGGGGTCAAAAAACTCGCAACGTGCAACAATGGTGAATCACACGACATGAATGAGCTCAAGTCTGGGATTTGTCAGTTTCTTGCGATTAGGTAAGTAAATCGTACAAGTCCAAAAGCCTAAGGCTTGCCTGTGCTCTACGGGTCGTAATTGAACTTTGTTAGTTTCCAAACAAAACCAAAACCAAAACCACGATAACACCCCTGTCTTTTGCAATCTCCCACTATAAATGACCTTTACCCTTTCTCCACATTTTCATTGACGGCCTTAATCCCCTCCACGCGTGCATACGCGCCACGTCGCCACCAGTACGTATCTATTCTTTTCCCGTCTATTTCACTTTACATCATCGCATGCCTACTCGCTTCTCGAGCCCTGTGTACCATCATTGACTTTTCAGCCACCTTCGCAGTCAGCCTTCCTCTCGTCAGCCGCCCCGATCGGTCCCTTTTGCAGTTGTCCCTCCTCCCGTTCGGCCACCTTCGCAATTGGCCCTCCTCCCGCTCGGCCGCCTTCGTGGTCGGCCCTCCTATTGGTCGACCATCTCGCTCGCCCACCTTCGCAGTCGGCCCATCTCCCGGTCGGCGATCCCACTCGACTGCCCTCGCGGTCAGCCCTTCCTACTGTCGGCCGTCCTTGTCACTTGGTGGCCCATCCACCTCTACCCCCTCCGCAAACTTGGGGGACTTTCTTCACATTTCCTATTCCCTTCGTTGGACTAAAGCTGCACTTGGGGCTGCAGAACTACTGATACCGATGGACACCCAGGAGGTCCTAACCTACAGATCAGGGCCAAGTCCACATCCCAACGATCAAAGCCCAATAACTCTGAGAAATCAACACAAGGCCAGAACTAATAACGTTCAAACACTTGCCAAGTAGAGGCCTAGACACGTAAGCAGACAAAGATCCTACAAAGTTATTGCACTACACATCAGCCATTAATGAAGCTCTCACAGCATTAAATGCTACAACCCCTTCATGTCGGAGGAGACAGACTCACCATGAACGATGTGAATTAGAATATAGACTTTCGGCCAACACGACAGTCCGGAGTGGACAAGGAAATGATGAGAAAATGATATAAGGAAGTTTCCAAGACACATTAAAGGTTAAGTTCTTCATTTCTCTCTCTTCTTTTTTCTACACAGTCAATCTCTCCTATTCTAACTCGATCGTCGGAGGGTCTATCGGGGGAACACCTTCCCCTTTGGACCTTTTTGCAAGAACATTCTGTGGACATCATGACTAGCAAAGCCATTAGAAGTGTGGATCACTTCGACCCATCTTCTGTTCATTAACTCATGGACATTCACTCACGTCAGTTAAACGAGAAATCAATTAGCACATTGTTGGGCTTAGTTGGCTCGCTCTTTGAATGATTTTTTCGTTTGGATGGAGGATGTACCACCATCTACTCTTGCAATTCATAAAAATAATTTTTAATATTTTTGTGTTTTTGGTCTATTTTCATGTTACTCAGGCGGGAAAAAAAAAAACCATATATTCATTTAAGTGATTTAATCTATACAAAATAGTAAAAAAAAAATAAAAAAACAAGCAAGTTAAATTTATATATCATCTTTTTCATGTACCAGTGTTTTATCCCTCTCCACTACTCCTGTTGCCTCCTCCATTCTTCCGTCCATAATCGCAATTATCATCTTCTCTGCTATCTCAACTATCAATAAACTATTCTCAGAAAAAAGCCAGGCTCTTTTGGCTAAAATAGCCACAAAAAATAAAATAGACTATTTTAGCCACAAAAAACAAAACATCAAATTTAACCCATAATCATTACAATCCTCTCTCACAAAAAAAGTCAAAAAAACTAAAAAGTCAAAAAGTCCTTCCCAAACCAGGCTAAAATAGCCCAGGCTAAAAAAGCAAAAAAGTCAAAAAGCCAAAAAGTTAAAATGCCAACCCACTTCCCAAACGGAGGCTACCTACTTTAAAAACTTAAAAAGAAAACAAAGTTATTTTGTTAATTAAATATTTTTTTTGGTCATATTTAGTGAACTATTTCAATTTCTCATGAATAACTAAAGAACAATTTAAAAAATACTAAGACACAAAAAATTATATAAAAAACTACTCTAAAATAATAATAACTGTTTGAGGACGTAAGTTTTAACTAAAAAAATATTCTAAATTATCATATTATTTTTTTAGATACCATTTCGTAAAAAATCAATTCTCAAACCGACGTCATTATGTATCCCGACAAAAATTTATCCAACTGCATTGGCACAGTTAGACTAGATGGATTATTAATGAAATCTCTCATTAGAGAATAAACAATAAGCATAATTTAATTTAATTTATTTATAATATAAACATAGGCCTACAGAACCAGACAATAAAGGAGTAAATGGACCGGAGCATAACGACGATTTTACCTGCCTTTCCCACGTTTGTCTCCTCTTCCCTCCGCATACCATCTAACGACACAACCAAAAAAAAAACCAAAACAAAAAAAAGCTCAGGCTCAGCCTCAGAGAGAAAGAAGAACAAACGAATCATTACACAGTCTCGTGATTGCTTCCAAACCGATTTCACCATAACGCCTCAAGGATTTTCATGAGAGTTTGTCGTTATCAATCTCTTCTTGTTGATCGATTACGTTCCGGTGTTGAAAGATTGGAATTTGATTCAATTCGTGCCCGTTTGGTGGTTTTTTAGATCAATTGAGACGAAATTGGAGGTTGTTGAGACAATGAAGGCGACGGAGGCCTTGCAAGATCTGATCGAAGAAGCTAAGCTTCGAACGGTGTATTGGGCACTTTGTATCTTTGCAGTATCTTACTTTTTGACTCGTAAGTTCTTCAATTTCGATTCAACTATCCACGCTTTTCAACACCAACGAAATTGCTTGTTTCTCTTAAAGATTAATGTTTAAAATTGAACGTGGTTTTTTTGGTTTCTGGATTCAGAAAATGTTGAATTTGCATTCTGATGTATTATGCGATATTAATTTAATCTCAGTTAGGGATTGATGTTGCAGATTTTGAATTAATATTGAATTGTGTAGGTTTTTTTTTTTTAATTTTTAATTTTATTTATTTATTTATTTATTTGTGTGAATTGGCACGAAGGCAATATGTGCTGATGACAATAGGAAAAACTCATATTAACTAAGGAAAGTAGGTAGTGCAGTCAATTGTTTTTTCTTGTCCCAAATGGAAAATTCAATCTCCTGATTTGTTTGCTTGTAAAATCAACCAAAATGTAGGTGAGATGTGCAACCTATGTAGGTGTGATGTGTTTTAAATTGCTGATTATGTGATGTGTGTGTAGTGGAAGGTCTTGATACAGCTAGATGTGGCCTGACCCCACATTGTACAATATTTGTCCATTTGCTTGCTTTCGACAGTTTGGGTTAGGCCTGCACGGCTTTAAACCTCATTGAGCGCACACTTCTAAGTTATTTGACATGTACTTAACTAGGCAATGTGAGGCTTGGTACTCATTTATATGGAAGGACCATCCCAACAATCACCTCCTTCCGTACATGTAGGGTGGATTGCTGAGTCTGCTACTCAATAATTTATAAATTCTCCAATGATGACGAAGTGTTGATCTTCATCACTCGTCAATGCAGCATACACAACCCGGTATGGCTCGCAGCACCTCTTTCACTGAGGTGCCCACACCCCCTAGCCCCGGGTGCCCCTCAAAGTAGTTCACCATATTCATCTTGGTATGGCTTGCACTCTCTTCACCGAGCTGCCCTCACCATGGGTGTGCCACAAAGTTTGCTACTTTTGCACATAAGATCACCTTCACGAGCAATTTTTACCCATCTTATCAATCAAAGGAGAATCTGCACCCACACTGCTTTGCCTACTGGCTCAGGGTTGTATGCCCTGGCTTGGATACCACTTGTTTCCCAAGCAACGGAAGCTCTTGATATCACTATCTATGTCCCGAACCCCTACTGTATAATATAGTCCACTTCGGATTAGGCTCACAACGATTTTAAAACGCATTGTACATTTATAAGTCACTTGGTACATATTTAACTAGACGATGTGGGATTCGGTACTATTCTATCTTGTCCACATAGGTGGACCATCCCAACAGATTCAATTATAATATTTTGTGGGATGCTTTTTGTTTGCTGTTGGCTTTACATTTGAACAAGAAAGTTCTTAAATTTTACATTGTGCCCTCTGCCCCATTTACTCCACTACTATGTACTGGATTCTGTTCCTAAACTTTTGTTGTTCATTGCAGACACGAGTAAATCAATGTGGATGAATATTCCCATATCAATACTATTTGTTTCTGCATTACGAATTTTATTTAATGAGGTGGAATTCCATTGGAAAGTGAGGAAAATTCATCAGCAGACATATTTATCACATTTAGAAAAGAAGCAGCTCTCCGTGAATGATTCTCGTTTTTCAACAACGCTGCCACCACCAAAATGGAAGAGAAAAATTGACTCTCCAGTTGTAGAGGCTGCAATGGAGGAGTTTGTTAATAAGATTTTGCAGGATTTTGTTTCAGATTTGTGGTATTCAGAAATAACACCTGACAAGGAGGCCCCTGAGCTTATCCGTGCTGTAATCATGGATGCCCTTGGTGAAGTATCTGGAAGGGTCAAAGAGATAAACCTCGTTGATTTGGTAACAAGGTATATTTTCAAAGAAGTTGCCATATTTTTTTGGGGTCTCAAGAAGTGTCCTCATTCGTTTAGTAACTGAAGAACAAAAGCATTTGTTTGTCATATGTATCAGGGATATAGTTGACTTAGTAGGGGATCACATAGATCTTTTCAGAAGAAACCAAGCTGCTATTGGTGTGGATGTATTGGGAACCCTGTCATCAGAAGAAAGGGATGAACGTTTGAAACATCATCTTATTGATTCAAAGGAGCTTCACCCTGCATTGATTTCTCCCGAGTGTGAGTACAAGGTGTGAGTGTTCGTATGAAAAATTTCTACTTATTGATTTTATTGTTAGCATGCCTTCTGATGCTTTTATTTTCTACAGGTTCTTCAGCAACTTATAGGTGGGTTGTTAGCTGTAGTGCTGAGGCCACAAGAAGCTCAATGTCCCCTGGTTCGTTGCATTGCTCGAGAGCTTGTAACTTGCTTGGTAATGCTACCAATTATGGATTTTGCAAGCCCTTGGTGAGTTCTTTTAGGACTTCATTTGTTTTTTCATGCAGTGTTTTATGGCTACCCTGTTGCTCATAAGTATATATTCCTCTGAATGTTTTATACTGTACATGGTCTAATTTGTAAGGCTTAAATGTGAAAACGAAAAATCTTATAGCTGTGAAAAATTCTTATATCTTCTCCTTATTTCTGCTTCGAATATCTCATGTTTACATAGGATACACAGGTAGGTTGCTCCCCTCTTTTGGTGCCTTTGAGGTTATTATTTTTCTCTTCTTCAATAAAAATGTTGTCTCCCAAGTTTTTCTGATGTAGAAACTGTTAACTTATTATATTATTATCTGAGCTTCATTTGGTTTGTAATTATTCTATGCCCTCAGGGCTCGACTTGTAATTGTCTCATCTTATAAACCCTAATCTTCATTTATAAATAGGGGATGATATTCTATCAAACCCTAAGCTGGTTACTCAAGCTTCATGGTATCAGAGCAGAACCTCTAGGGTTTCGGCTCACCCTTGTTGGTCGACCTTTGCACCAACGACTCTAGGGTTCGAAACTTACCTAAGTTGATCATTTGCTGCGATCTTCAACTCGCCGTCGTCACTCAGTCGCCTTCCTCTCGTCGATCTCTGCTTCGTCTTCCTCACTCAGTTGCCGTCGTCACTCAGTCGCCTTCCTCTGTCGATCGCCACTCAGCCATCTCTCCGTCGATCGTCACTCAGCCGCCTTTCTCTGTCGCGATCGTCACGCAGCCGCCTCCCTCGGTCAATCTCCTCAGCCCGTCGACCTCCTCAGTCTCAGCCCGTCGACCTCCTCAGTCGATCTCCTCTGCCAGTCGACTAAGAAGCACGGACACGGATACGGGATACGGGTACGATACGATACGGATACAGCGATACGGCAAAATTCGAAAAAGTAGGATACGGATACAGCGGGGATACGTTCATAAAAAATATTTTTTTTCACAATTTTTAGTAATGTAGCATACACAAAAATAAAACTTTAACAATTTTTAGTAATGTAACATACATAAAATAAAACTTCAACATTTTTTAGTAATGTAGCATACATAAAAATAAAACTTAAAACAAAAGACAACTTGATAACAACCACAATGCATCATCCATAACAAAAATTTCATCAATTCAATTAAATTTCAACAATTTTAACAATATAGCATCACCCATAACAACCATAATGCAATTCAATCCTAAATTAAGGGGGGAAAAATTTACAAAGTTCATTTATTTATCAATAAGTTTATTTATGTATTTATTAATAAATTTTTTTTACCTTATTTGATTTATTAATAAGTTTACAAAGTTTATAATTTTATAAGTTGACAAATTTTATTTTTAATAAGTTTATTTATTTATTTATTAATAAATTTTTTTTACCTTATTTGATTTATTAATAAGTGTACAAAGTTTATAATTTTATAAGTTGACAAATTTTATTTTTAATAAGTTTATTTATTTATTTATTAATAAATTTTTTTTACCTTATTTGATTTATTAATAAGTTTACAAAGTTTATAATTTTATAAGTTGACAAATTTTATTTTTAATAAGTTTATTTATTTATTTATTTACTAATAAGTTTTTTTACCTTATTTTATTTATTTATTTATTAATAAGTTTTTTTATTTATTTGTTTTTTTACCTTATTTGTTTATTTATTTATTTGTTTTATTTGTTTTATTTATTTAAACCGAATAATACATATAAGTTTTTTTTTTTTAATATCTTATTTGATTTGCAAATCGCAGAGTATACATACAACAAATTAAAATAAATAAATAAAAAAAAATAAATAAAGACAGATGAGATCGAGTCAAAGGGGGGGGATGAGATCGAGTCGCGATCTCCAACCAGACAGACAGATCGAGCTCGAGCGAGAGGGAGAGGGAGAGAGAGAGAGTTTGTGAGATTGAGTGTCGTGAGAGGCAGACAGAGGGAGCGAAAGGGAGAGAGAGAGGGACGAACCTGAAAGACGATCGTGGGGCTCCTGTTCGCGAACCTGATCGACGATCGGCGAGCTACTGTCCGAGACGACGACGAACTCCTTCTCCTCCTCCTTCGCGGCTGCTGTTCGACTTAGGTAAGAGAGAGGTTGGTTTATTATTTTTCTTGTGTTTGGTTCGACCTAGCTGCTGTACGAAGAACTCTCTTTTTTGTGTTTTATTTTATATTTTTTTTCATATTTTACAATTTGGCCTCTTCTTAAAGTTTTTAAATTATTTTTTTGCCCCGCCGTATCCATACCGTATCTTGACTGTATCCTCGCGTATCCGAAATTCAAAAATTTTAAAAAAAAAATTGGATACTTCATTTCTTGCATCTGATACGTATCCCACCGTATTGGGCGCGTATCCGTATCCGATACGTATCCGATACGTGTATGGGGGCTATTTCGGAGTATCCGTGCTTCATAGCCAGTCGATATTCCAGCAGTTCGTCGATCTCTCTCTGGTATACTCTCATCACTGTTTGGTATACTTATGTTGTGTTTATAGACCGTACCAATACATATATAAATGAATAACTAAATAAATACAACAAAAAAAAAAAAACAAATGGTTTCTTAATTTTGTTATGCTTTAATAGTGGTAATTGTGCCTGTTCTTTCATCACCACCTTCCGGGTTTGTGATTGCCATTAGTTTTGTTGCGGGTTCGGTAGTATAGTATCCATAGCAGATTCCACCAGTGTGTCCCATACTTCTCAAACACCGAGGAGTGAGAGTCTCATTATACCTACTACCATGACTGAGAACCCCAACCCTAGTTTGAAAATCACTACCTCTCTATCTAATGGTCAGAACTACCTAGCATGGTCTCAAAGTTTGACTATATTTTTGAAGAGCCGAGGAAAGATGGGGTATGTTGATGGCAGGATACAGGCACCTAGTACCACTGACTCGGGTTATGACCAATGGGAGATTACCAACTCTTTGATTATGGGTTGGCTTATTCATTCGATGGTTCCTGAAATTGGTGAGGGCTACTTGTCTATGGAGACTGCTCAGGATGTTTGGGATGCTGTGACTGCCACCTATTCCCGCAAAGAGAATTTCTCACAGGCATTTGAGTTGCGCCGCTTTATTGAGAGCTCACTTCAGGGGGAGCAGACTATTCTTCAGTGTTTCACTTTCCTCACCAACGGCTGAAAACGCCTTGACCACCTGGAAGACTATAAGCCCATTTGCCCTGCTGATTCTGTCGGGTACAAGAAGTTCATCGCATGGGAACGGGTCTTTAAATTTCTGGCAGGCCTAAATGTGGAGTATGATCCAGTTAGGGGTCGAATTCTGGGTATGGACACTCTTCCTTCACTTTAGGAGGCATTTGCCTATGTACAGAATGAGGAGAGTCGCCGGTCTGCTATGATGTCCCCTGTCTCTACTGGCCGCTCAGCATTACTGTCTACTCCTCGAGATGGCCTCAGCCTGACTCTCATCCCTCCGTCTGCTGCTAAGGAGTCTGTATTCTGTGATTATTGCAAGAAGCCGCGGCATACTCGTGAGACGTGTTGAAAGTTTCATGGGACTCCATCTGGGGGTCGAGGTGATCGGTCTGGTTCTCGAGGAGGTCGGTTTGGCCAGTCTAGAGGACGTGGTTCCTATTCCTGGGCTCATCAGTCTAGTGCAGTTGATACATTTGATTCTAATTCTGTTTCTGTTGGCCAAGCTTCTGATACTGAGTTGGAGGATGCTTTGCGCCAATTGTTGGACCGCCGGTCTTCTACTGCTCTCAGTACAGCTTCCTCGTCCTTTGCCCGCTCAGGTAACTTAGCCTCTTCTCCTTGTGTTTTCCTGTGTCATAAGTCTTTGCCTTGGATTATTGATTCCGGTGCCTCCGATCATATGTTTGGCTCCTTTGATCTTTTCTCTGTCTATAAGCCCTCTTCAGGTCAAGACAAAGTTTGGATTGCAGATGGTACTGTTTCTTCCATTTCTGAAAAAGGTTTAGTCCAAGTCACTCCTACCATACATCTATCTTCTGTTCTCCATGTTCTCAATTTTTCTGTTAATCTGTTATCCTTGAGTCGTCTTACACAGGATTTGAATTGTAGTGTGACATTTTTCCCTGGTCATTGTCTTTTTCAGGACTTTGTCACGAGGAGGGCGATTGACAGTGGTAGTGCAAAAAATGGTCTCTACTTCTTGGATCAACCGGACAAACTTGTTTATTCTTCCACCACATCTTCTACTACCCCCGCTGATTTATGGCTGTGGCATCGGCGTTTTGGGCATCCTTCTTTTTATTTACTTAAGCATTTATTTCCATCTGGTTTCGCAAATCATCATGTGTCTGACTTTCTTTGTGAGTCTTGTCAACTTCGAAAACAACACAGAGCTTCTTTTGCTCCCAGTTTGAATAAAAGTTTAGTTCCTTTTTCATTAATACATTCTGATGTTTGGGGTCCCTCTCGTGTTATGTCTGTGAAAAGTCATCGATGGTTTGTTATATTTATTGATGATTTTTCTCGTGCTACTTGGGTGTATCTCATGAAAGATAAGAGTGAGGTTTTCTCTGTGTTTCGCAATTTTCATAAGATGATTTGTACTCAGTTTGAGGCCACTGTCAAACTATTTCGTTTTGATAATGACTGGGAATACATAGATTCTGGGTTAGGACAATATTTCTCTTCTCATGGCATTATCCATCAGACCTCTTGCACCAATACCCCTCAACAAAATAGGGTGGCGGCACGCAAGAATCGGCATCTTCTTGACATGGCTCGGTGCATGTGTTTTTCTATGAGTGTGCCTCGGCCCTATTGGGGCGACGCTGTTCTCACCGCTGCCCATCTTATTAATCGTCTCCCTACCCAGGTCTTGCAAAAACAAGCTCCTCTTCACGTCCTCCTAGGTTCTCAGTCCTTGTTTTCTATTCCTCCCAAAATTTTTGATTGTGTCTGTTTTGTTCATAATCACTCTCCTTCTCGTGGTAAGTTGGACCCTCGCTCCCTCAAGTATGTTTTCCTTGGTTACTCTCCTACTCAAAAGGGATATAAATGTTACCACCCTTCTTCTCGTAAGTGGTTTGCGTCCATGGATGTTACTTTCTTTGAGTCCCAGTCCTATTTCTTATCCTCTCCAGTGTCACCGTCCTCATTTCCGGGGGAGCCCTGGTGTGAAGTGAGTCCTGTGCTTCCTATGGTGGACCCAGTTGTTCTTGCACCACCCTCTTCTACTGTACTTCCTATGGTGGAACCAGTTGTTCTTGCACCACCCTCTTTTACTGGGACTATAGAACCCAATGTCACCAAGCATAAGGACGGGCATGTTTATGTCCGGGACATAGACAGACAACAAGTTAACTGGATATAAGGGACCACTTCTGCTCCTCCACTGCCATCTTCTGCTTCTGATGAGAGTCTAGGTAACTTTAAATCTCTTGAGTCTATTGATCTTGATGTTCCTATTGTCAAAAGGAAAGGTGTGAGATCTTGTACTCAACATCCTATCTCACAGTTTGTGTCCTACTCTCATTTGTCATCCTCATATAGAGCGCTTGTGTCCAATATTTCCTCTGTTAGCATTCCTAACCATTTTCAAGATTCTCTTGCTACCTCTGAGTGGAAACTAGCCATGATTGAGGAAATGAAAGCACTTAGGAAGAATGGCACTTGGGAATTGACTGAGTTTCCTACGGGCAAACGACCTATGGGATGTAAATGGGTATATACTGTGAAACACAAAGCAGATGGGTCTATTGAGCGTTACAAGGCAAGACTTGTGGCAAAAGGGTTTACTCAGACATATGGCATTGATTATCAAGAGACCTTCGCACCCGTGGCTAAGATGAATTCAGTCAGAGTACTTCTCTCTCTAGCAGCTAATCTAGATTGGCCGCTTTATCAGTTTGATGTTATCAGTTTGATGTTAAGAATGCCTTTCTCCATGGTGACCTCAAAGAAGAGGTATATATGGACATTCCTTCTGGTTTTGAGGATCATCAGACAGAAGGCAAAGTATGCAAGCTTCGGAACTCATTATATGGTCTTAAACAGTCTCTAAGGGCTTGGTTTGAGAGATTCACTCAGGCTACGTTTAAATATGGCTTCAAACAAAGTCAAGTAGATCACACCTTGTTTGTGAAACATTTCTCGCGTGATAAGACTACAACACTTATTGTTTATGTAGATGACATAGTTCTTACAGGCAATGATAGTGGGGAAATACCTCTATTGAAGAAATATTTAGCTAATGAGTATGAAATCAAAGACTTGGGAAGCTTGAAGTATTTTCTGGGAATTGAAATTGCTCGCTCTAAGGATGGGATATTTATCTCACAGAGAAAATATGTGCTTGACCTATTGAAGGAAACTGGGATGCTTGGCTGCAAGGCATGTGCCACTCCACTGGAACCCAATTAGAAATTGGGGATGATGAAGGAGGAAATGCTGTTGATAGGGGGAGCTATCAGCGATTAGTGGGTAAGCTCATTTACTTATCTCACTCCCGTCCTGATATTGCTGTTGCTGTTAGTGTGGTTAGTCAGTTTATGCATGCTCCTCGTCAGATTCACTTTGAGGCTGTCATGAGAATCTTGAGGTACTTGAAATCTGCTCCTAGTAAGGGTCTTTATTTTTCAAAGTGTGATCATCTTCGTGTGGAAGCCTATACAGATGCTGACTGGGCTGGATCAGTAACTGATAGGAGATCGACTTTAGGGTATTGCACCTTTGTTGGAGGCAACCTAGTTACTTGGAGGAGTAAGAAACAGAATTTGGTTGCTAGGTCAAGTGCAAAAGCTGAGTTTAGAGCTATGACACAAGGTGTGTGTGAACTTTTATGGATCAAGTTATTGTTGAGTGATCTAGGTATTGATCAGATGGACTCCATGCGGTTATACTGTGATAATAAGGCCGCCATCAACATCGCTCACAATCCAGTTCAACATGACAGGACAAAACATGTTGAGATTGATCGTCACTTCATTAAGGAGAAACTCACTAGTGGTACCATTTGTACTCTTTTTGTCCAGTCTGGTGAACAACTTGCTGATATTCTCACCAAGGGGGTTGGGAATAAACCATTTCATGACATATTAGGCAAGTTGGGCATGAGGGATATCTTCGCACCAGCTTGAGGGGGAGTGTTAACTTATTATATTATTATCTGAGCTTCATTTGGTTTGTAATTATTCTATGCCCTCAGGGCTCGACTTGTAATTGTCTTATCTTGTAAACCCTAATCTTCATTTATAAATAGGGGATGATATTCTATCAAACCTTAAGCTGGTTACTCAAGCTTCAAAAACAATTCGCTAGTGTGATGTATCAAAAAAAATAAATTGTTGTACTCAGTCAAATGTAATTTAGGTTTATGAAACAAATAGAAATATTTGGGAAATGGTCATGAGTTCTCTACTTCTGCAATTAAGTCACTTAATAATTCATTATTGGAAAATCATATTGTTAAAAAAAAAATCTTATTATATATATATATATATATTTTGTGGTACATCAGGCATATGGTTATGCAAATCTAACATTCTTACTCTAAGAATGTACCTGTTGTGATAAAAATAGGATCAAGGTACTAGTTACAACTTACAAGAAGCAACCCTAAAAATAGCAATATTTTACAAGGGCAAGCTATTTCCAAGTTTCCAACATAATCCTAAATGGAAGGAACAGCCATTTGGTTGAGGACTTGGATGTTCATTTGTTGAATGGGGAATTCGATCAATTGACCCCGAAAATAAATTTTGAATGGTTTGCTTTAGTGAGTGAAACTGCAATGCCCTATAAGACACTGTCAACACACTTAACAATATTCCACTAACTGATTTTAGTAAGAAATTGGAATATTTTTGTCCTTCACTTCCTCAGAACCACAAAGAAGATATCTTATCCCTGCTGCATTCACCTTCCTATCTTTTAAAGCTCGAAGCAAGAAACTATGTGGCATTCATGATTTTACATAATTTCCTAATACCAAGTTGATCATGATGGAAACCATTGAATAGTATCTGGCTTGAGGGAAATCCAAGAAAGAATTTTTTTTACTGTTACACGCACCTTTTTGAGCACAGTGGTTAGGAAAAGTAGGACCATCTGAATTTTGGTGGGAATCAAAGCTTAGAAATGCTTCGTTTCAAAAAGGGATTTGTAAATGCCTGGAATGTCTGGATGTTTTCCCACTTTTCGGTCAAGATTACCAAATAAGCAAAAAGTAGCCAAAGTTATGTTTGTGAACTGTAATATTGTGACCCTTATATTGTAACTCAAATCTTTGACCACATATATGTACAGTACTTCCTAGCATCCCTCATGTCAAATGTACTCTTGTTGCCTGTTCTGTTTTCAGTCTGTATTGGCATTTAGGGGCTACTTTCACAGCCAAAAGGGCTTCATCAACAGCTCCCTTTCCTCTGCATGGGACTCTCAAATGTATTCTTCTTGTGTGTTCCTCTGCAATTGAAATTTGCAGCATTCCTTACTGTTTTTCAAATGGGGGTTGCCATTCCCACAGCGAAAGAGGCTCCGTCAACAAATTCCCTTCCCCTAATGGGTCCCAAATGTGTAGAAGTGGACATAGATGTATGGGGTGAGGGGACTGTGTATGCTGCCCTTCTAGCTGTAATTAATCTCTATGTAGTACTCTTTTCTTTATACAACTTCTGGATAAGTTCTTATGATCTTGGCAGAGGCATACATGCTTTAATTTCACATTATTTTTTTCATCTATGTGAGGTTGTGTAAATGCAACCTGTTTTTAGTCTATGCATTACATTAATTATTTACCTTTTCCCCAAATGTGAGAAATCAACTATTTTGACCAAACAATTACTTCTGTCCAGGTATGTTAATGAGTTGATTGAGTGTATTTTGCTTGCTATTAAAGATTATGTGAGCAAAGCAGGGGACAACCAGTCACCCAATGTAGTGGGTCATACCAGTGGTCATGCTGTTGCTGCAGATGCCATACAAAATGAATTTACTCCTAGGAAGAATTCATCTTCCAACAAGCAAGGGACTGACCTGATGATGTCAAGATCCGACAATCAGAAAGAGATTCCCCTGGATGCTTCGGAAAATTTGTACTCTCATTTATTTGGTGAAGAACCTACGCAGTCGCGGCCTGCTGACTGGGCACGGATATTGGAGGCAGCAACCCAAAGGAGAACGGAGGTTCTGACGCCAGAAAATCTTGAAAACATGTGGACTAAAGGAAGGAATTATAAAAAGAAAGTTAGGAAGGTTTCTGCAGGAGGACTTCAGGCTCCTGCTGCCAAGGGTTCAGCAAGTAACAATGCTGAACCTACAAAAAATTCAAGGAAGGAAATGTCAAGCCACAGGTTTCTAATTTCTTCTACAACAGAAGATAAAACTCTAGTGCAGTTATCATCAGGATTGCATAGAGAGACTCGACTAAGTGATGGGAAGAACAATGTGGTGTATTTATCTCATGGTCTAAACAAGCAACAATCTTTTGGGGGAACACCTCTTGTTGATGAATTTAAGGCTACCACTTCTCTTACTGACATTGGGAATAAAGGTGTACTTAAGAGATCAAACAGCACTTCTGCTTTAAATATTCAATCTAGTATGGAAAAAGCTTTCCCAAGTGAGGGTGGTGGGTCCATTATTTCAGAGTTCTATAGCCCAGATTTTGGAAGGCATAATGATAATCGTAATGCTAAGAGTGTTTCAGATATGGTGTTACGCAATGAAGGAGTCCACACTCCCAAGCTTCGGTGCCGGGTAAACTTTCCCTCTTCCATTTTCTTCTTTTAATTTTCAAGGAAATGTTGCAAGGTGTACAAACATGTTGGTCAGTACTGTAAAGAGAACCCATATAAATGCAGGATCTAAAGGGCATTTTTATATGCCTTTGTATATAGTTGTCATCCTTGCCTGGATTTGTATCGTTTATGGTTGTTACACTTGCCTTGAATCCAGTTTGATTCTTCTTTTTTGAATTGCATCACCAGCTTCTGATGCTATGTAATGTCTACAGGTTATAGGAGCATACTTTGAGAAACTTGGGTCAAATTCATTTGCAGTTTACTCAATTACAGTGACAGATGCAGATGAAAACACGTGGTTTGTGAAAAGAAGGTCTCGTTCTTTTCTCAATCATTAATACGAACGAATTACTAGGCTATCCATGCACATGCACATGTTTCTATAGTCATTGGCCCTAATGCTAATTAAAGCTGTTTTTATCCTTTATTTCATGAAGAAAGTTCCTGAAGCTTTTAGATCAGCATTGGTCATTCCAAATCCCCTATACATTCACAGTTTTTTTTTTTTTTCTTCTTATTTTTTTGATATTTTCTCAGCAGATATAGAAATTTTGAGAGATTGCATCGTCACCTTAAGGACATTCCTAATTATACATTACATTTGCCTCCCAAAAGGATATTTTCCTCTAGCACTGAGGATACTTTTGTTCATCAGCGCTGCATTCAGCTGGACAAATATCTGAGAGTATAATTTATCTCTCATCTGCAAATCCCCTATAAATGTTCCTCTCCATATTCTTGTTATTTTGATTATGCTGCATTTCCCAGGATCTGCTCTCAATTGCTAATGTTGCTGAACAACATGAAGTGTGGGACTTTTTGAGTGCTTCCTCAAAGGTTTGCATTTCTTTAGGACACAAGACTTAGTTTGGTTTGGTTTAATAAATACTACTATCTTATCACATTTTTTGTTCCAGTCTAATAATTGTTTTATTGTTGATGAAGAATTACTCCTTTGGAAGATCATCTTCAGTGATGAAAACCCTGGCAGGTATGTAGCTTCCCTTCCTGGTTGAATTGTCATCCTTGCTTCTTATCTGTTTGGATTCTATTTGTCTGTGTGTGGTATTTTGTGGTAAAATAAATGAATATCTGTTTTTGAACACTTCTCGTTGTTTATTATGAAATTGATTTAGTGGTATGCACATTCATTCACAGCCTTGATATTGGACCAGAACTGAAGAACATTTGGCAATTTTTACCAAGTTACTTTGTGTTAGTGAAGGTCCTTTCTTTCCAGATAATCAGGGCTTGTATAAATAATGTTCTGCATTACAGTAGAGTTCAGAAACAATTTGACAGTGAAGAATTACATTAGTGTGTCAGGAAACTCCTAACTCATTAATCATGTAGTTCATCAAGAACAATGCAATACAAATAAACATCTTCCATAATAAAACATACACAAAACCAAAAGGAAACTATATATACCCCTTGAAACTTCATACTATGTGCAGGACAGCAGAAGACAACAAAATATTACAAATTAATGCAAAAGTCAACAGATAAAAATTGCAATAAACAAAAGAATTTTAAGGCCACATAAACCAATTATAATGCACAAAATATCCAAATGAACAGCATTTTCTGAATCAAGAAGATGAAGCCGACAACAACAGCAGCAAAAATGAAGGAGAAGAAGAGAATTCTCTCAAACTCAGCAAGTTGAAAGTGTAACATACATCAAATCTTGTCCAGGTGGCTATGACAAACAAAATTCACAAACATTATCTTTCCAGCAACTTATGATTATTTGAGCAAACAAATACTCATTTCAAAAGAATTATGGGTGAAGTAATCTGATGGACATTTTAATTTATACAGTCAGTTATTGATCCAACCAGTTATACATCTATTGACATATCACATCTTCATATCTGCTCATGATGCTAACAGTTTTCTTTTTAATTACGTCCTTTATCTGGCTGATTGAATTTTTTTTCCCTCTATATTTTTTATTTGAAAATGACATTTGTTCATTCTTGCTGAAATCAAACAGTGAACGTGGATGACGCAGTGGATGATATCGTACGCCAGTTCAAAGGGGTCTCAGATGGCTTAATGCGCAAAGTTGTTGGTTCATCTTCCCCTCCACATGAAGTGTCTCCTGCAATTTCAAGCAGGAACTTATCCTTTAATGCTGAGATGATTAAACAACTTTCATGGCAAAATAGCACAGAATCAGCAAAAAGCATTTCTGATTATGATGAAGGTGATAAAGATGGAATTAATGAGCATGAGGAAGTAGAACCTACTGTGCAAGATAGTGGGTGGCATTCGGACAATGAATTGAACACAAAGGGTTTTCCACCTAGGGTGGTTAAACGAGGTGAGAAGATTAGAAGCTTAGATCCTGAGAAGAAACATGGTTCAGAGAAAGAATCTCCATCGGTCAGTCTGGGTGGATATCTTGCCTCAGGTTTCCCAGTATCCTCTGATCACTTGGCGGATCCGGTTGTAGTGCCACCAGAGGTACCAAGCAGTCAGAAGACTGCATTTTGTTTCCTTCTATGCTTTATGACCTTCACATATACCTTAGATCTCCCCTTCACAAGTGCCATCTTTGGTCATATTTTCTTCATTGCAGAATTGTCACCTTGGTGTTGTCTCTAAAATTTAGCCCATGTCAATCTAATTGACTCTCCCTAATGTCATCTGTCATGCTATTATTAATATTTGACCTTCCTGTTTGACTGCCAGAACTATTCTTGTCAGATGCTGCAGTTACAGTTATGCATATTTTGCTTCTATTGGTGCAAACATAGTTCTTATATGTGTTCCAATTGCTATGCATACACACATTTCCTTCCGAACTGTACAATTCATTCTAAGATCTTATGTCTTGTCCAAACATTGCTCGAGTCTTTGGACCTGAAATTATTGATGAGAAACAAGTTAGAAGCTCAGGGTTGAAGAATTTCAGCAATTAAAGGAAAATTGAAGAAGGAATTATCTTATGATGTTTACAAACCTGGTAAAAGCATGGGAGACCGAGAAGAAAAAAAATAAATAAATAAATAAAAGACAAATAAGAAAGAAAAAGTTGTTCCGTTATCAGAGAGTTATTGAATCTTAGGAATGGGATAGATGGGGATTCATATAGCGAACCATAAGATTTATTCAGGTTGCTGATTAAAATAGAAAGCTTGAAAGTATATGGAAAAGTTGATGCATATTTATTTCTTTGGGAACAATTGAAGATTATTGCCATTTTAGCCTCTCTCTCTCTCTCTCTCTCTCTGGATAGGTAATGGCCATTTTATCTCTTGAGTAAGATCTAGTGAAAAAAGAAGATAAAAAGTGACATCTTGGACTTAGATTGGAGAAGTTAAATTGAATTGTTGATCCTATCAGGTGTAATTAATTGATTCCCTCTAAACATGGTAAACATGTTGGTCTATGATGAGATTTCATGTTGAAGGATTAAAATGTGTTTTTCTTGATAACAAGATTCTCGGTTGAAAGAAACTCAAAACCCCCAAAGCTGTTGGAAGTTGTCTTATGAGTTCACAAACTATTATTTCCAGATGCCGAATTAACCACAAGAAAACAGTAAATTATGTTATAAGTATAGTTGATTGAATTTATTAAATACTCAGAATTGCATTTTAGTGCATTGAAATGTAGAATACAGTTAGCATTCAGAATCTGGGGTCTAGATTTCTGTCAAGTGGAGTTTAATCTATCATTTGTATTAATTTTCCTTGGGATTTGATTTAGAATTTCCGAGTGAATTGTATGATTAATAGCAATTATTCTGTCGAAAGAAAGGAATTCCACCTTGCTAACTATTGTCATTTGTAAAGTGCATGGAAAACTAATCAGTCGCTGTTGGAGAGATGACAACTCTAATTATGGTGCTTTACAATTACATCTTCCGAACATTAATTATCATGCTTCTTGTGAATTCTGATACTAGAGGAGGTTAAAAGCTTCTATAATTATAATGTGTTTTTTTTTTTTTTTTTTTATGTCATTGATTCATAACTTATTGAATCAATATTGAGCAGAACTCGTGGGCATATGAACAGTTAAGAGTTCCAGGAGATTCCTCAAAGGAGAATAAACAGATTTTTTTTTTTTTTTAGCTCAATGGCTAAAATAGGGATGCCCTTTGGCAGTTTTATCTGGGCAGTGGATGCTGATGAAGATGGAAGAGAATTTCTATCTGGGAGTGGCCTACTTTGGTTTCTGAAATAGAATGTTCAGCTGTTCTTAAACATTAGTTTTCTACACAAGAATTGATTAGGGATGCCACTATAGACAAAACCAAGATGAGAATGGAATTAGTAGAAGTAAGCTTTTAACTTGCAGGAGGACCTATTGATTTTGGGATCTATATCATGGGTATTTAATAGGTTTTTATGGGTTACTAATCGACAGAGGGATTCCAACTCTTGTTAGAGTTAGAATTACATAGATGAACCAAGTTTTATATACTTTTTCCTCAGCTTTGAAGCCTAATTGGGATTGTATGATACAATTTGTTAAAACCTACCATCACCTACTCCACCTACCACCACCTACTACCACCTACTCCACACCTACCACTACCACCTACTACCACCTACTCCACTACATCTCCTATATAAGGAGCCCCTCACCATTTGTAATATACAGAATACAACAATCAATAATACATCAATTTTAACACAATTGTAACATTAAGTGAGGCATAATGTAGATTGGGCGTGTTACTGGGCTTATTCTTCTACTTCTTGTCATCTTTGATTTTCTGCACTGTTTAGGCCTTTTACCCTGGAAATCATATGTTATTAAGCTTGATAACCCATCTTTTTATCCATCCATATCACCCAAAAGTAAGTTAATAACTGAATACAAGCTCCTATTATTGTTCACATGTACCCCTCTTGGGCGTTGTTCACAGCCCAGAACAGCCTCCAAAATTTTAGGCTGTGTTTGGTTATGTGTTTCAAACACATTTCCACCCACTCATTTGAGTGTGGTGTTTGTTTTGAGCCTTCAAATTATAATTCCACACCTACTTTTGAAAACTCCTTCCCAAACGGGGAAATTTGGCTAATCCGGACGTCTGGCTGGTTGACCGGAACAATATTTGTTTGTTTTTTTTTTTCTCTTGGGAACCTGTTATTTTTATATTGTAAATAAAAAATATTTTCAGAATTTTTTTAATTTTTATATGAGCTTTGAATAGAATTTTAGGTTGTGTGTATGGTTATTGTTAAAATTCACCTACTACACACCTACCACTACTACCTACTACACACTCACCTACTTCACCTACTCTCCACCTACTCCTCACCTACTACACACTCACCTATTCTCTTCCCACATCCTCTCTTCTATATATAGGAATCATTGTAATATATCAAAATATCAATCAATAATACAATTCTCTATTTCTCTTTATACATTAAATTTCTACAGTTATGAGTTGTAAATTTTTGAATCAAACAACTTTTCTAATTTCAAAAACTTAAAACTCCCTCCAAAACTCAATTCAAAACTCATAACCAAACAAATTTTTCACGTTCAAATCATAATTCCAAAACTCACAAACTCAAAATACAACTCTATTCTCAAATCATATTTAGAAAACTCTACCAAACGCTACCTTAGTTTTTTCTCATCTATTTTAAGCTCCTAACCCTTATCTCTTTTACACATTGGTAGAAAGCTCTAAAGTCCCATACCTTTAGAAGCCTTTAGTAACAACGAAAACCTAATATTGTCACCCTATAAAACTTTACTGGTGCCCTATATCAATTGTGGTAAAAATAGCTCGTCGGTGAGTCTTCATTGTTCTTGTCATATGTCAGCTATTGCGAAGGTGCGCTCTTAGGTATATGAAAGGAAAGAAGCTGTAATCAACCTGTTTATAGAAAAATATTTTGTTTGGCTTGCTTACTTAGTTCTTGGATGCCAGTACTTTCGTGTTGTCTAAATTTCTGTTGGTGCTTATTTCCTTGCAGTGGACACCACCTAATGTAAGCTTACCTGTGTTGAATTTAGTTGATAAGATGTTTCAGCTAAAGAGAAAAGGCTGGCTAAGGTAAGCTAGACTTTTCCTTACATGATTACTTGCATGTTTTCTTCATAATTTGAAAATCAAAAATTGCTTGGGAATTATCATAATTCATCGTTAGTGTTTTTATTTATTTATTTATATTTAAAATTTTATATCTGGTGTGTGATGCTGCTTTTTATTTTGTTAGAACAGAAATTTATTGCTGTATATTTTGTTGCTCAATCTTCACGAGTGGAGGCATAGATTTGAAACTTATTTGCTTGCAGCAGACACGCCCTAGCAGGGTGGTTTTTAATGTGTTTTTTTTTTTTTTTTCAGCTTTTGCTCATTTTTTTTGTCGCTTTTGCTCAATGCTCAAAGCCAGATGTCCAGTCCTCCTAGATAGATTTGAAACTTATTTGCTTGTAGCAGACACCCCCTAGCAGGGTGGTTTTTAATATGTTTTTTTTTCCCTTTTGCTCAATGCTCAAAGCCAGGTGTCACACAATCATGGCATAGAGGCTCCCATTAGTCTCAGCCCTTTTTATCCCTTATGATTTGAGAAATGTGGATTGATTGATCTGTGCGGAAGATTATGTGACATGTGATCATGCTTTAACATGTTTCATCAGCATTCAGCCTCAAACATTTTTTTATTTTTATTTAAACATGCAGAAGACAGGTCTTCTGGATATCAAAGCAAATATTGCAGTTAATGATGGAAGACGCTATTGATGACTGGCTCCTGGGGCAAATTCAGTGGCTCCGGAGAGATGATGTTATTGCTCAAGGGATTCGGTGGGTCCAAGATGTAAGGACTGATCAATTTTTTTAACATCTTTATTTTATTGAAATCATTTAATTGGTGAGTCAAGATTTGATTTAAGATGTTGTGAGAAATTTCATTATATTCCAAGCTTTAAATGAATATGGCAGCACCGAAGATCACATTCTATAATCTGTTTTATCTTGGTTTTTAACATTTGTTGCGTCAAACTTGTGTCTGTCTGTTTCTTTTGGATGAACATATTTCATCCCAGGCATTTTTGTCACTAGGGGCATAGATTGGCAGTGTGTCACGGGCTGACTCCTTTAGAGGCGCAGCGGATCAATTTTTCACCTGTGTGGTGCTCAAACTCCACCAAGTTTAAGCCCGCCATAGCTTGTTGACAAATCGAGTGTTAATGATCTCACCCATTTGAACATTAGGGCCCAATGTTTTGTCAAGCAATACAACTTCACAAGGAAGCTCCGTCTTCACCCGAATGCCACAAGTAGGCCTAACGCCTCAAGTGCACCAAGCACAGCATAAGTCGCTTCATAGCACCAAGCTTACCTCAAGCAAGGTGCTCGCCCAACTTAGGTTCATGTCATCAAGGTGCCTAGCAACACAACAATGTGCTAACGAAGGCCCTTGACTTAGCCGACAAGCCAACTTTGCATGTTGGGTCTTTGACAGCATCTCGAAGTGCCATAGGGTCTAGCATGCCTCAATTGATGCATATAGGAAGGTCCCATGGTCATGCACAGCCCACAAGCCACCAAGGGTCAATCTCTTGCCCACAGCGTAGTCCTCATGCCAACACGTGTGTTAGATTCCGCCTAAGGCCATTAGCGTTGCACCAACGTGTAGCATGAGTTAGGCAACGTCTCAACCCGTAGCTCGCTTGTAGCATAATGTCACCCCTCAATGGGTTTAGTCAATGCATAACTTGATGCTTTCGTTCGATAGCCCACATATGCGGTCCTGTCTTCCAACCGCTTAACTTAAGCCACAGGATCCCCTTGTGCAAGGTTGAACCTAAACCAAGCACTTGAGTTGGCACATGAGGCCTTTGGTGGTGCCTCGATAGCCCATTCGGTCTAAAACGAGTCCCCAAGATGCCATAACGCGTGGCATAAGGGAGACAACATGTTAAACCTCTCCCTCGGGAGGCACGCGTAGTGCTTACATTATTGCACTGTCCACGGGACTCCCAAACCCACGTGGAGACTTTAGACACCCCTCTGGATGCCTAAAGCCCGCCCTTGAGTTGCCCCAAGATTGCTCACTTGAAGCCTAGTTTGGGCGGGAAGGCAGGTAGGTAGCACACCTTGCCCCCTTATATATGCTTGTTAAGCCTTTAGCCATCTGGCAGGAGGAAACATGTCCTATGTCCGAGGAGTCATAATGATTTTTCATAAATTCCACAAATTGAGAAAAATCATGAAACTTGGTTGGGAAAACACTTCCCCCAAGACCTCTTTCCAGTAAAAATTTCAGCCCAAAATTCCTTCATTTGGATGCCTAAACATCGCGCCAAAATTCTGCACTGTTGACTGCAGCGCAGCAGCAGCCTGAGCCACGGCCTGGGCTGTGGCTGGCAACCTCAGGCCGCAGCCTGTCAGTGGCCTGCCTGCTGGCTGCTGGCTGCTGGCTGTTGGCTTGGGCTGCGGCCTTGAAGCTTGCTGCTGCTGCTGCTGCTGCTGCTGGCTGTCGCTGCTGGCAGTGGGCTGCGGCCTTGCTGCTGGCTATTGCTGCTGGGCTGCGGCCTTGCTACTTGCTGGCTGCTGGTGGCCTACTTGCCTTGGGCTGCTTGGGGCCAATGTTGGGCCATGTTGAGGCACTTCCAAGGGCCACTCTTGAGCACTCAGTTGGTCACACCACCACGAGCAAAACGTCACGGAGTTGGCCTTTCAAGGCAACCCGTGACACAGTGCCAAGCGTCAGTTAAAGCTGAGCCTTCTTGAGGGTCATCCAGAACCCAATTGGGGCCTAAAACTCTTAGCTGTCTATTTATTGATTGAACTTTGGGAAGAGTTTTGGTATGTTGGAGTCTATTAACCCATCACTTTGATTTCTTCACTTCTTGGTTTGTTTGGTTTGGTTGTTGGTGGTGGTTGTTTTCAATTGAATGTGAGTTTCATCCAATGTTATATGAACGTATTTAAACAATGGTTGAACCCTAGGACCTTGTATGCAATAGCACGGTGTCTTTTACAGTTCATATTAACTTTTGAGTTGTATTTGTTTGTGTAGATATGTAGTCTACTTTTTGCTTGCATCCAAATTAAGGACAAAGTTGGCTAATTTACCACCCTATGCATAATTAGGATAAAATTCCTTTTGTGTGCACTGTAATGTCTTTTCCTATTTATCTCCAATCAACATTGCAGACTTTATTTTATTTCAACCAACCTAGCTTGTAGTGGCATTTGAGTGAATTCACTTTTGTTCACATTTCACAGAAATTACAATGACTTTCATGGGGCATATCCTATTATCATTTCTCAAGTTTGGCATGTACTTTTCTATGTTTTGTTACGTTAGTACCTTTGGTGCAGTTGATTGTGAAAGTGCAAGAATGAACAAAGAATAACATCAAATATTTTGCTTCTTCTAATAATGGATTTCTTTGTCAGGTTCTTTGGCCCGATGGCACATTCTTTCTGAGATTAAATAGTCATACTGAAATAGATGATTGTGAACCTCATCAGCGATCTTTTCAAACTACAAGGAGTAGGGCCTCTAAACTTGGTTCTTTTGAGCAGCAGCTTGAGGCTGCTCGTAGAGCTAGTGATATCAAGAAAATGATCTTCAGTAAGTTTTTCCTTCTTTTTCTCTTCCCTATCTTTTCCTTTTCTTTTTGGTCTTGGTACATCTTTGATAAGTATGTATTCTTTTATGTTTGGGATGGTTTTTCTCTGTTTGCAAGGCAATGATTAATGTTTACCTATTTTTGTATAAATGTATGGTATACCATATATGATATAGGGTGCCTATCTATTTCCTTTGTACTGAAAGAAGAAGAAGAAAGGATATAGGCTGCCCATACATTATGTTCTGAAAACCTTGGTCTCTGACTGTCATGCGCCTGGTTTATCTGTGCTTGTAATAAATAAATAAAAAATGTCACTTTTTGGTTAGTAGAAGCAAGTCACAGAAATGTTCCACTTCCCTTTCGTCCATATTATATATACATGTACATATATACGTACATCTTTTTGGCATTTGTTTATTACAATAGCCTCAGCAAACTACCTCATTTATGTATTATACTGTAATAATGTTGATGTCTCAATGTTACAGTGACTTGGATGTTTCAACCCGTCTGTTGTGTTGGCTTGATTTAAATTTCACGAAGCTTAATAAATTAATGGATTTAACGTGTTGGTCTTTTTAACCAAAATATGAATAGAATGGTGCATATCTTTATTTTTTTTTATAAAGATTACATGAGATCACCAAAAAAGATTTAAAAAAAAAAAGTAGTAGGTGACTTTCTCAAGCGACGTTGGCCCGGATCTTGGTAGTAGATTTTCTGCAAATAATTAGGATCTTATGCCACTTTTTTAGTTTAATTTTACTGGTCATCATGTTTTCTAGATTCTTGTGTGAATTGGATACAATGGTCCTGGATAGGAACATAATTAGCAACCTACCTCGTTCTTCCTCAGATGGAGCTCCAACTGCTCTCGTCAGCTTGATTGGGCATAAGCAGTATCACCGTACCGCAAGAGATATATATTATTTCCTTCAGGTAAAACCCTTCTGTAATCCCTGTGATTTATTTTCATCATTCAAATGATATTTGTGACCAAGAAGTATCGGCTGACTTACTGTGAATTTGCAGTCTACAATCTGTTTGAAGCAACTAGCATATGGAATACTTGAACTGGTACTCGTTTCAGTTTTCCCTGAGCTGCGTGACCTTGTGCTGGATATTCATCAGAAGATGCACACCCAGCCGGAATAGCAATAGTTTCCATTTTTCTTCACACTTATCCATTATTCATTCCTAGAGTGGATAGCTAATTTCCTGATAACACTGAGGGTCAAAAGATGAATTCGTCCAAGATTGGCAAGATAACCTGACTCGGATATTCATTGCCCTTTGACTGCTTTGTGGTGATATTCTTTTCCTCAAGGAAGGGAGAAATGAGATTCTGATAAATGTACAAAAATCGCTTCTAGGATGCGGGAAATAGTTTTTCTGTATCCCTCTCTTCTAACTGTACAGGAATGGACAATTAGAATTTGTATAGGAAGTCCTCTTGCTGAAAATACTGATTTACTTGAACAACACACCCTTTGATGGGAATTTTGTATTGATTTTTTTTGGAAATTACAACCAGTGCTGGTCTCTCTATTCGTTCCTCATGTTAGTAATTTTTCTTTTTTTGAAAAAAAGAAATAAAAATGTCGGATTGCTTTTATTTATGACATTTCAAAAAACTCGAGATATTATGTAATACCTCTTTAGTTTCCGTAACCAATATCTGCTGCTACCAACCCTTGAACACCTGACCTATGGTTTTCACATGGCTTGAGAACCACACAGCAGTTGCCAAGGTTCCATGAATGGGTTGGTGTTGATTACCTCCATCTGTTTACTTTTACTGCAATATCTTTCTTTACTTTGTTTTGTTTTTTGTATATTTTTTATAAACATACTTTGTTGTTGTGTTTTTGAATTATGTGATAGGAGCAACTGATGTGATTATAAAAAGTTTGTAAAATTTGTTGATTTGTACAACACTATTCTTTTATATACCATTACGTGGAATGGGTTTTTGAAAGTTGAGGCGAAATATGCTGTCTGTAGAAGTTCACTATGCACGAGCATAATCTTTTTATTGGATATCAGCAAATACTCTTTTATTGGAGATCAACGATTAGCAATTCTAACAAAGAGACCTATTGAACGTGGTGTCAGTTATGCAAATCAGTGCCAAATTTTATGTAACACATGCTTAACAAAGCATACATAAAACTGATCCCTTAAAATTAGCAAAACTGCATTCGTTCTTACATGAAGGCGAGCAATAGCATTGTATGAACAAATCACACATTGAAACTTAAAAAAGGTTGCTAAATGGGCCGGTGAGAGTTTTGCGTAGATTGGAGTACAGGGCGAGGAGAGAGTATTGGCGTAGATTAGCAACCTCATACCAAGAATTGAGGACCTCCTCGTTCTTGTTGGTGCCTGAGAAAGCCAACTGTATGCCTAGGTTGCAGTCAACAGCACCACCATTGCCTATGCAGTTTGAAGTTGGAATTGCACAGTCTGTATGGTTTAGGCAAACTAAAGACTTCCCAGTGCATGAGGCACACCCAAACTTCTTCCAATACAAGTTTTGAAGAGTGCCCTTTTGGAATTCAAGCACCTGTGATGGAACAACATAAATAACTAACTTCAATACTGTAGTATGCAAAAATTATTAGGTGGCTTGGCAAATCAAGCATGGCCGTCAGGGCGTGTTAAAGCATTTTCAGAATATATTTGTATATATATGTTTTTTGATTATTTTGAAAAGTTGAATATTGTTATTGTTGTCTGAATTAAGAGAGAGGTATGACTATTGAGTTTGAAACCAAAGAGTTATGACCATTAGGTTTAAATTCATTTGTGCATAACATAGTCGGACAACAATTATTAAGACATGGCTTGATTGTATCTTGGAGGTAGATTTGTTGTAACTTGCTTACACATCAGATTTGACTGAATTGGTCTTACCAGAGTAAAGCTAGTTACTGTGTTTGTCATATCTGCAACAAAGATGGGCACTGATCTTGCTATATATTGCCGCCCTGCAAAAGCCACCATATACCCACCTGCCATATTCTGCATATATATATTCATAAAAATCACAAAAGAAATTAATTACATTTTCTTTCAATTCATTAAAATGATTCGAATTTTATTAGAAACACAGAACAAATAATTAAAAGATGACTAGTTCATGAAATTCATGGAGATTATCATGGCAGCCAAACAAAAATTTTCATTTCTAGAGATAAAATCATCCAACATTAAAGAAATTTGAACTTCATTGGAAACATAATTTTTTTCAAAATTATAATTTAAAAAATTTATGTGTTCTTAGCACAACTGTTAAAAAATAGAAAAAAGATCATAGAAAAACTTCAACAAAGACTAGTTCAATCAAGTTTGTGAAACTTGTTGAAAATTTTTCAAGTATATTGTCTTGCAACCAAACAAGTTTTCCAAATTCTGGAGATAAAATCATCAACAAACTCAGAAATTTAGGCTATAACAAGTACATACCGGATTGAATTGGGTGCCATTGAGGGTAAGGAGAGAAATCTCATCCACCTTAGGCCTGAACATGGCAAGTTGAAAGTGATGCTAGCGAGGAGAAGATGACGATCACAAAGTGAAAGCTGAGTCTCATTGAAAATGAAGGACTCTTTTGTCGAGAAAGCAAGACCGAAGGTAAAACCATCATATCTCTGAACTTTTGCATCTAAACAAGGATCAAATACATGATTTGTGTCCCATGCTTTGGCTTGGATCATCATCAATGTCATTATCGCAATGTGTGTTACCATAATTGCCCTCACCATGGCAGGTAATCTTCTTCATTGAAAAAAAAAAAAATGGGAAAAAATAAAACACACAAAGAAATCATGCATTTGAAAAGAAAAAGAAAAAATAAAAAGGAAAATGATATGGAAGTTTGATGTTTGTAAAGGAAGAACAATCAAATAATAATTAGGAAAGTTCAAGAAAAAAAAAAAAGACAAGGAAAAAACAATGTTTGGAGCGTTTTCATCACAATCCAAATCAAGAATTTACAATAACCTGAACAAAACCACAATGAAGAACTCAACCATGTAATATAAATAGCAAAATCATATGCATATATATATTGAAAATGTTACATATCATCATTGTTAGGTTGAATTAAAAAAGGTTGACCTAGATAAAAAATTATTCAAAACATAGCATGAACATGAATATGAAACTGAAAAAAATCTTAAAAAGAAAAGGAAAGAAAATTGAAACCCTAGATATAGAATATACCCAATAAATCAATCCTAAGACCCCATTGAACTCACCACAACTGGAAAATTACTAGCGATCGCCTTTCCAAATGCTTTAATGTTCTTTAACCTCTACAAAACTTTTCTTAAATTAATAATCACCCTTGATTTCTTTTTATTGATTAGAAATAGAGAGAGGGGACAAGGTTAAGAAATTAATTGAGGTGGGTTTAAGAGATTTAATAAAATTGATGATTTGATTTTCTATGTTGTTTGATTCGAAATTGTAATTGTGAAAGCAATTTGTTGGGTTTTTTTTCTGTTTCTTACCTATGAAGAAACTGCAGGGGAATTGAAGGACCCGAGGGCATGTGAAATGGTTATTCCGGCAAGCCACTTGGATCTTGTCCTAGGAACGGTTATGGAAGTTGATGAAAACATTTAAGTTCATATTTACTAAAATACCCTACCTCTGAGGTTATGTTTGCTTCAATGATTTAGAGAGGGATTAAAAAAGGCAAAGGAAAAATGTAGCTAAAATATGAATAAATTATATAAACTTTCACTTAGTTTCATACATTTTTTCCCTTTCTGTTTTTAAATTTCTTTTCAAATTCATTAATCAAACACTGGCTAAAGAAAGATTTTGACTCGGCCTTAGTAATGAGCCAAGTCTATCCAACACTAAGAGCTTATTTGGGAATTAATTTTGGTAGTGATTTTTTAATTTCTTTTTTAAAAAAAAACATGTAAAAATTAAAAAAAAATAATTTAACAATTTATAATAACTTTTAATTTTTAAATTAAAATATTTAGTTTCAAACATAACCTAAAACTTAAGGCATAGGTCCATAAATTTTGACTGATCAATAGGTAAGGCTTGGGTCAACCCATCCAAAAACCTAAACACTACTCATGGACTTAAAAGTGTGGGCTTATAAGATTAGTGAAAGGCTTAGCCCTAATCAGACCTAAATTCAAGTTTTTTTTTTTTATTATTTTTATAATTTATTGAGAAAAAAGAGAAGAAAAAAAATTATAATAAAAAATTTTGGATTTTTTTGGATCGGTTTAATGGATTGGGGAGCAATCCAACTCTTTGACAGAGGCTAACTCATATTTGGGGTGGCCTAACACGCCCATCCTCGAGCTCGGCCCACATTGTGGGTTTTGTTTTTTTTTTTTTTTGGAAGTGGCATATCTACGTATTATGAAAAATGATATAAAAGTTTATTTTTTAAATTTATTTTTTAGATTCAATGATGTGTCAAAATGATGATTAGTGGATAATTAAAGAATATTTAATTATCAACCAATCATTTTCTTGACACATCATTATGAAAATGAGTCTAACTTTTATACCTAAATAGGAATGCTTGATACCATGGTATCTCATTTATTAAAAAAATGTATTATTATTATTTAGAAAGTATAAAATGAATTTGGTGATACTTTATTCCCTTTTATAACCATTTCGAAGAAAGAATTATAATATTAAATATTTTTTTCACATTTATGAGCACCTAATCTATAAAATGGGTATTTGAGATTTATAGATTGCTAAAATCTACAGTTTTTATCAAAGGAGCGTCACCCTGCATTGATTTCTCCTGAGTGTGAGTACAAGGTGTGAGTGTTCTTATGAAAAATGTAAACTTATTGATTTTATTGTTAGCATGCCTTCTGATGCTTTTATTTGCTACAGGTTCTTCAGCAACTTATAGGTGGGTTGTTAGCTGTAGTGCTGAGGCCACAAGAAGCTCAATGTCCCCTGGTTCGGTGCATTGCTCGAGAGCTTGTAACTTGCTTGGTAATGCTACCTATTATGGATTTTGCAAGCCCTCGGTGAGTTCTTTTAGGACTTCATTTGTCTTTTCATGCAGTGTTTTATGGCTACCCTGTTGCTCATAAGTATATATTCCTCTGAATGTTTTATACTGTACATGGTCTAATTTGAGAGACTTAAATGTGAAAACGAAAAATCTTATAGCTGTGAAAAATTCTTATATCTTCTCCTTGTTTCTGCTTTGAATATCTCATGTTTATATAGGATAGTATACACAGGTAGGTTGCTCCCCTCTTTTGGTGCCTTTGAGGTTATTATTTTTCTCTTCTTAAATAAAAATGTTGTCTCCCAAGTTTTTCTGATGTAGAAACAATTCCCTAGTGTGATGTATTCAAAAAAAAAATTGTTGTACTCAGTCAAATGTAATTTAGGTTTATGAAACAATTAGAAATATTTGGGAAACGGTCATGAGTTCTCTACTTCTGCAGTTAGGTCACTTAATAATTCATTATTGGAAAATCATATTGTTAAAAAAAGTCTTATTAGATATATATATATATATATATATTTTGTGGTACATCAGGCATATGGTTATGCAAATCTAACATTCTAACTCTAAGGATGTACCTGTTGTGATAAAAATAGGATCAAGGTACTAGTTACAACTTACAAGAAGCAACCCTAAAAATAGCAATATTTTACAAGGTCAAGCTATTTCCAAGTTTCCAACATAATCCTAAATGGAAGGAACAGCCATTTGGTTGAGGACTTGAATGTTCATTTGTTGAATGGGGAATTCGATCAATTGACCCTGAAAAGAAATTTTGAATGGTTTGCTTTAGTGAGTGAAACTGCAATGACCTATAAGACACTGTCAATACACTTAACAATATTCCACTAGTTGATTTTAGTAAGAAGTTGGAATATTCTTGTCCTTTACTTCCTCAGAACCACAAAGGAGATATCTTATCCCTGCTGCATTCACCTGCCTATCTTTTAAAGCTCGAAGCAAGAAACTATGTGGCATTCATGATTTTACATAATTTCCTAATACCAACTTGATCAATGACGGAAACCATCGAATAGTATCTGGCTTGAGGGAAATCCAAGAAAGAACTTTTTTTTACTATTGTTGGGATGGAATTATACGCACCTTTTTGAGCACAGTGATTAGTAAAAGTAGGACCATCTGAATTTTGGTGGGAATCAAAGCTTAGAAATGCTTCGTTTCAAAAAGGGATTTGTAAATGTCTGGAATGTCTGGATGTTTTCCCCCTTTTCAGTCAAAATTACTAAATAAGCAAAAAGTAGCCAAAGTTATGTTTGTAAACTGTAATATTGTGACCCTTTTATTGTAACTCAAATCTTTGACCACATATATGTACTTGCTAGCATCCCTCGTGTCAAATGTATGCTTGTTGCCTGTTCTGTTTTCAGTCTGTATTGGCATTTAGTGGCTACTTTCATAGCCAAAAGGGCTTCATCAACAGCCCCCTTTCCTCTGCATGAGACTCTCAAATGTATTCTTCTTGTGTGTTCCTCTGTAATTGAAATTTGCAGCATTCCTTATTGTTTTTCAAATGGGGGTTGCCATTCCCACAGCGAAAGAGGCTCCGTCAACAAATTCCCTTCCCCTAATGGGTCCCAAATGTGTAGAAGTGGACTTAGATGTATGGGGTGAGGGGACTGTGGATGCTGCCCTTCTAGCTATAATTAATCTCTCTGTGGTGCTCTTTTGTTTATACAACTTCCAGATAAGTTCTTATGATCTTGGCAGAGGCATACATGCTTTAATTTCACATTATTTTTTTCACCTTTGTGAGGTTGTGTAAATGCAACTGTTTTTAGTCTAAATATGCATTACATTAATTATTTAGCTTTTCCCTAAATGTGAGAAATCAACTATTTTGACTGAACAATTACTTCTCTCCAGGTATGTTAATGAGTTGATTGAGTGTATTTTGCTTGCTATTAAAGATTATGTGAGCAAAGCAGGGGACAGCCAGTCACCTAATGTAGTGGGTCATACCAGTGGTCATGCTGTTGCTGCAGATGCCATACAACATGAATCTACTCCTAGGAAGAATTCTTCTTCTAACAATCAAGGGAATGACCTGATGATGTCAAGATCCGACAATCAGAAAGAGATTCCCCTGGATGCTTCAGAAAATTTGTACTCTCATTTATTTGGTGAAGAACCTACACAGTCGCGGCCTGCTGACTGGGCACGGATATTGGAGGCAGCAACCCAAAGGAGAATGGAGGTTCTGACGCCAGAAAATCTTGAAAACATGTGGACTAAAGGAAGGAATTATAAAAAGAAAATTAAGAAGGTTTCTGCAGGAGGACTTCAGGATCCTTCTGCCAAGGGTTCAGCAAGTAACAATGCTGAACCTACAAAAAATTTGGGGAAGGAAATGTCAAGCCACAGGTCTGTAATTTCTTCTACAACAGAAGATAAAACTCTAGTGCAGTTATCATCAGGATTGCATATAGAGACTCGACCAAGTGATGGGAAGAACAAGGTGGTACATTTATCTCATGGTCTAAACAAGCAACAATCTTTTGGGGGAACACGTCTTGTTGATGAATTGAAGGCTACCACTTCTCTTACTGACATTGGGAATAAAGGTGTACTTAAGAGATCAAACAGCACTTCTGCTTTAAATATTCAATCTAGTATGGAAAAAGCATTCCCAAGTGAGGGTGGTGGGTCCATTATTTCAGAGTTCTATAGCCCAGACTTTGGAAGGCATGATGATATTCGTAATGCTAAGAGTGTTTCAGATATGGTGTTACGCAATGAAGGAGTCCACACTCCCAAGCTT